CCTCCCCCCTCCTTCTCCCAGCCTTCTGTCTCAGCTCACACACTCAGTGAGGGAGGAACAGGAGGTTCCTGCGCTCATGAATACTTGAACAGTACCAGGCACCACCGCTACATAGCTCCTCAGCTCCTCAGCTCCTCAGCTCCTCAGTGTTTGTGTCTTTATAATGATGTGACACTGGAGAGGTTCTCCAGGAGGAACTTAACCTTCACAGACCACTGAGTCTTTACCTTCACCTCTCTGAGTCTGGACCAGAGCGAAGTTCTCACTAAGTGTTTCCTCCCAAAAAAAAAAAAAAAAACACCAAAAACTGTGGTTGCAGCAAAATGAAGAATTGTTTTGCAGGAACTTTGGTAAAAACACACAGTGTGGAACAGGAAGGAACTGAATGATTCTTCATTGGTCTAATTTATGATTAAAATGATTCTGTTTTTCCAAAGACTGAACTGAAGGTCAGCTGGAGCAGAAACTCCGGGTTTCTTCAAGTTCAGAACTGAAGAAGTCTCTACTTCGTCCAGTTGCCCTCGATCGAACTGTTTTTGCTGAAATATCGCGATATTTCATCACGTGATCCCGTATCGGTCTCCTCAGTCGTCAGTGTAGTCACTTGATGTTACTTTAGGGGAATTTCTTAACTCCTGGTTCATGGACCGGTGCCGGTCCGTAGGTTATTTGGTACCGGACCGTAGTGGGATTCAGTGAACAAATGTACTTCAGTTTTACTGATGTACTTCATTCAGTCGTCGATGTTTCAGAACAACAGGTCAAAGGTCATTCAGACTCTAACAGAAGAAAGTCTGAAAGATGTTTTAATGATCCTTCAGCCATGGCGTGGTATTACTGGTCCGCCGTTAACGGCTGATACCGGTCCTTGGTACAAAAAAGGTTGGACCGAACGAGAAAGAAACGGATCAGAACCAGACGTTTCCTCACCTCTGTGTTCTGTTCATTTGTTCTTCACAGACAAACCTTTCTGATCTGGAGCAGCAGTCTTCAGAAGACGGTCGAGTCATGACCTGGACCGTCCAACCCTCCGTCACGGTCAGGTATGGACAAAGGAACCTCCTGGAACCTGAAGTACCAAGAACCAACTTTCACAGCACCACCTCGACCAGGGATCTGGAACCAGACGGTAATAACTAGCACGTTAGCATGTAGCCCCGTCTAGAATACCGCACATCGTCACCACATGTGATTTATCGATGATGTCATCAGCGCCGGTCAGCGTGGACAGGAGTTTTCACTTCGTTAATGTTGACTTGAGACAAATCTGAGTTTCTGAAAACCCCCGATCTTAATCTCTGAATATAATCTCTGAATATAATCTCTGAATATAATCTCTGAATATAATCTCTGAATATAATCTCTGAAAAAATATCTGAATATAATCTCTGAAAAAATATCTGAATATAATCTCTGAATATAATCTCTGAATATAATCTCTGAATATAATCTCTGAATATAATCTTAATCCAGATCTGTTTTTATTCCTGTCAGTTCAGACAGTTAGTCAGAACAATGTGACATAATCAGACTCGACAACATCTATAGGCTGCTAAATCCTAGAATAACCCCCCCCACCCCCCGGAGCCCCCC